TGCAGGGCAGCTCCCCCAGGCCCTTAGGGGAGATGCCCTCCACCCCCATCCCACTCCCCTCGGGGGGGCCTTGAGTCTTTCCAGGGCAGAAGGGAGAGGGAGCGCCCGTTATAAGCGGCTGCGCGCCCCACCCCAGAGGCAGCTGCATGATCCCCAGGCTGTGGGGCAGGCAGGGCCAATCAACCAGACCGAGAATCTGTAGCCCATTCAACCCCCTGAGATTACCCTGGGCCGGCGCTCGGCCCTGTCTCCCTCCTGCTTTCTGCTGTCCCAAGGCCAGGAAGGCGGTGACAGGCCATGGGGGGGCCAGCCCCCACCAGACTGCAGTGCCCAATGCCCTCCGTCCCTGCAGCGATGCCAGGCTGCCCCCATGCCAGTGCCCTGCATGCGTATCCCTTCCACAGACCCCCACCCCATCCTATCGCCCCTTCTCTGGGCCAGGGGCTGCTGCAATTTACCCCCCCTTATTCTGCCTCTTCCCCCCCCTCCAGTGGCACAGCGGGGGAGGGGCTCACAGCAAAGTCTTAACTGAAAAACCAAAGAAAAATCATTTAAAAAAAAAACCAAACTCACCTAAAAACCCATCGTCTCGTTCGCTGTGTTTGGTCTGAGCGACCGGCGGGCGCTCCCAGCTCCCCCGCCCGCCGGGGGCAGGAGATTGGCTAGACAGGCTGGTGCAGGGAACAGCCAAAACCCCGGCTCCTGGTGCCAGGTGCGGGCCCGGCGCTGGATCACGGCCCCGTCGCAGCTCTGTACATAGTATATATATGTGTCCGTGGGGTTTTGTACCTGGAAAGCGCCGTTCTTCTCTTTTTGCTAGCAACAAAAAATTCCAATATGAACTAATAATTAAACAAAAAATTCCTCAGGGAAGTGAAATTGTTGTTGATTTCTGTTCCCGGAGCAGCTAGAAGCCAAAGGATCGGGGCCCCGTTGTGCCAGGCGCTGCCCAGACCCTACCCGAGATCAGGGCCCTGTGTTTCTGTCTGTGGCTGTTGGACTTGCCACTCTGCCCCACCCCATCCATTACTGCTAACTGGAGAGGATGGCGCAGCTGGGTCTTGGCCCGGCAGCGGGATTGGCAGGATGGCAGCATTACCGTCTCTCACGAGCGTTTTGGAGTCGTGTTTTCCTTAAATCCCCAGCTCCCGGAGTCCAGGGATCAGGGGAGGATCCGGGCTTTCCTTTTCTAGTGGAGAAAACCTGGCCCCCAAAGGCACCGGGGCCAGGCTGTGACTTGCCGGTGCCCAGAGTTTATTTGTTCTGAAAAAAAATCGGGATTTTTAGGCCTTCCGGGGGACGTCTGCGTAACAGAACCACTGCCCGTGTAAGTCCGGGGAATCGGTTGTCGGCGCCTTTTAAATCAGTATCTGGCGTCGGGCAGTGGATCTCACACTGCAGCATCCTGGCAGGCCCATGGGCGTCGGCGTCTCTCTCTCGGTCTCGCTCTCAGACATTGTTCTAGTACAGAGCCCCGACAGGGTTCCCAAGGGAGTTGGCCGAGGATCAGGCCCACCCGCGACTCCGGTCACTTTGAATAACGACTCCGCAGACGCTGTCTCCAGCTTTTGCCATTTGGGTTCGACACTTGCCGGTCGCTCCAGCTCTGAGGCGGAGGTTCTCCCTCGGCTCGGCATCCCGGCCTCTGCCACGGGTCGTTTCCACCCAGTATGGAACCAACCTCCTCTCGGCACGAGACCCGCGTTCGGGATCTAGTCGATCTGGATTCTCCCCGCCCTGCTGCCCGGCGCGGACACACCGCCGCTCCGGCTGGGCCTCCCCACCGAACGCCGACCTCGGATATCGGCCCTAAAGCAGTCGGACTTCATCTCTCGTGCCGATGTTGGCAGTCACTCCGGTCTACAGACGACTGTAGACCCCCCGCCCCTCCCGTGGGTGCATCAAGTCTGTTCCCCCGTTGGACCCTTGCGGCCGTGCAGAAATGGACCAAATGACGAACGATCACCAAGAGAACGATCGCCTCTCCAGCGCTGGAGAAGGGGCCCCCGACGGCTGACGCGGCCCAGTGTATCTAGGGTGTCCTGGCTCACCGAGCTCACCAGAGGGCAGCAAACTCACATGCACACTTCAGCTCAGCCCCATCATCCAGTGTCAAATAATTCCCCCAGCGGAGAGAGGGAGGGGTGGGAGCTGCGGGGTGGGTGGAGAGAGGAGGCCGCGCCACTGCCCGGGGCAAAGGGATTGCTTGTGGCGCGAAGTGCGGTTCACCTGCGGAACTCCACGCTGCAGGAGGCCACGGAGGCCTCAGCTCCTCCAGGAGACAGCACTGTGCAGCGGAGTTGTACAGCCCTGGGGGGAGCAGGGGTGCACGACCCCTCACGCGCCCCCACTAGGGGCTGGCCCCATTGCAGCTGCCACTGGGTGGGAACAGGGGCAGCAACGACAGGGGCTCTCGACTGCCAGGGTTCGGGGCTGGCGTCAGGAGGGAACATTTCCCCCCACACACCGTCGGGGCAGGAGCTGGGGGGGTGAAGCCTTCGTCAGGGCAGCATTGACAGGCTCCATGGGCCAGGTGGCTGCTGGGGGAGACCCCCTGGTTCGATGTGGGGTGAGTCCCACAGCCCCTGCCCTTAGGGCCGGGGGGGCACCCTGGATGCGCTGCTAACCAAGCCCCAGCCCCTGGATCCTCCCCCACTGTGGCTCCCCCCGACCCCAGGCCTCTGGGGCTGGGGGAGCTGCCCCGGGTCCCGTCCGGCCATGGCTTTCCGGGGGCTGGGGGCTCTGCAGGGGCGGGGCTGCCGGCCGGGTCTGCTGCCCTCACATCGCCAAGGCAGCTGGGGGCTCTGACCCGGGCCCCGGCCTCGCTGCGCCAGGGCTGGGCAGAAACCAAGCGAGACGCAGCCCCCACCCCTGGGGGTCCCCCGGGTGTGGGCACTGGGCAGGGGGTGCAGAGCCAGTCCCCTAAACCCTTCCGGGGCAACGTTCCCGGGCCAGGGCACTCAGGGCAGGGGGGTCTGGCCCCAGGGCCCCTTCCCAGGGCAGCGCTGGGGCCGGGCCCCCTACGAGCCCTCCGGCTCCCTCCCCAGCTGGGTACCAGCCCGCCACAGGAGCGTTGTTTTCTCGTGGCACATGGTGCCGACACCGCCACCCGGCCCTGGCCCCCGGGGGAGCCTGAGGTCACCGGGATCTGGGCCTCCCCCCCACCCGCCTGGGAATTTCCTGGATTTCCACCCCTCACCCTGGGAACATCTGGGTCGGGGGTGGGGCGGTTGACATCAGCCCAGGTTCCCGCATCCCCACCCCTGCCCCAGAGCGCCTGGCCCTCTGCCCCTTGGCCAGGCCCCAGCCAGGGGGGCTGAGGGGACAGGACCCCCCCCCGTCTGTGCTGGGTGGAGCAGGGTTTGGTGAGTGGGCTCTTCGGCGGCCTGCTCCCACTCCCAGGGGGGGCCTTAGGGGGGCTCCTCAGGCCAGTCCCCTGCTCTGGGGAACGACTTGAGGGGCTGGGGGCCTTTTATGGGGGGGGAACTCATTGGCAGGGGCAGGTGGGGGAACACCCCACCCTTTGCACAGACCCGGGGCCCATCGAGGTGGCGCTCAGAGGCTCCCTCAGCCCCCCCCCCCAACCCCCAGGCACTGGCTTGTGGGGCAGGCCCCTCGCTGGGGGAGGCTTTGGGGGGTTTCCCTGGCATCCCAGGCCACGGGGGGCAGGCCTGGCGGTGGGGATGGGGGAACAATTGTCCTGGGCTCCGACCTCAGGGCCCCCGACGTGCTGGGGCCCCATGTCTCTTGCTGGGCCGGTGCACCCCAGAGTGGGGGGGCTCTGGGGAACAAAGGGGGGCTCATTTGGGAGCGGCTGGCACCCGAGAGCGGAGCAGGGGGCTGAGCCAGTGCCCGGTCAGCACGGGTCCCCCAGCCCCCCCATGGGCACTGACCCCCCCCTGGCTGCTGGGCGGGGGACGGGCTGCAGCGACTGAGCTCCCTGCCTCCCCCCAGGGCAGGGGGGTCACGGAGGGAGGGGGAAACTCGCTCAGACGGGAGCCGGGGCCCTAGTCACAGAATTCCCAGAAGAGCCGGACTGGGAGGTTTGGGGGCTGAGCTGGGACAGCTCCCCTCCCCCGCCCCCAAGGAAGCCATGCGGGGGGGTTAGTCAGCACAGGATGTTCTGGCCAGGGGCGCCCGGCGCTCGCTCCCTTTCCCGGGGACCTGCGGCTCTGGGGGGCTCCGGGACAGGATGTGGGGAGAGAGGCCGGGACACGGGGCAGGGGGAGCAAAGCAGATGGATGGTGATGGTGTTTTACATGGTTACAGCGGGGGGCTGGGAGCCAGGACACCTGGGTTCTTCCCCCGGCTCTGGGTGGGGAGCGGGGCCCAATGGTCGGAGTGGGGGGGCTGGGAGCCAGGACACCTGGGTTCTCCCCCCAGCTCTGGGAGGGGAGCGGGGCCCAGTGGTTGGAGCCGGGGGCTGGGAGGCCAGGACGCCTGGGTTCTCCCCCGGGCTCTGGGAGGGGAGTGGAGCCCAGTGGTCGGAGCGGGGGGCTGGGTGGCCAGGACGCCTGGGTTCTCCCCCCGGCTCTGGGAGGGGAGTGGGGCCCAGTGGTCGGAGCAGGGGGCTGGGAGCCAGGGTGTGGAGCTGAGGCAGCTGCACTGACTCACCCGCGGGTTCAGGCGTCACTTCCCAGATCCCCCGGGCGGGCGGAGAGTTTTATCAGCAAACAAATGTTCCGGTAACCCCCAATGCCCCCGTCAGGTGTGCGGGGGGGGGGCAGGCCGGAGGAGGTGAGGTCTGAGGTTGGTTCAGTGACTGTTCTAAGGAGGATGCAGGGTCGAGACTCAGGTAAGTCACGCAAAGGATGTGAAAATCTCTCCCCCTCCGCCCCCCACCCAGCTCTGCCGGTGTCCCTCACTCCCGACCCACAGCCCCTGCTAGCCCAGCCCTGAGCTCCCCCCAGCTCTGCCGGTGCCCCTCACTCCCGACCCACAGCCCCCTGCCAGCCCAGCCCTGG